TATACAGATCAGCAACATCTATTCATTTCATATTGTGCTTATCAGAAAAGAGTCCATTTAACAAATAAAAGATATCAGATTTACCTAAAGAACCTTGTCTGTCCATTCTGTCCCCAGCCATGATACAGAAGTAGAGCGAACCCATGTGGACTCTGAGAGCTCACAGGGTGGGTGTGACACTGGCTGTTAGAAACATTAGCTTGTGCCAGTGGAACCACTGAGTGAGAATCAGAATGGAGCTTTTTCATGTTAATTTTCTGGCTGCTTTTTGGACCTCACCACCACTTGGCTGCTTTATTAACTGTTAAGGATGAAGGGGGTAAGGGGGCTGTAGTTTTCAGCAGGGAATTCTTCCCTTTTCCAGACTGTCATAATTTAAAAAAATAATCAAACACCTCATCATACCTGAGGGTCCCCGAAATAGATTTGCATGATCAGGGCCACAGTGACCCCTGTAGCAAAAGTCAAGCAGGCAGTGATGATAACAGTCAGCCCATCTTGACGGCAGCTGCAGTCCCCTGAGAATGGGTCCTTGCTAGTTTCTCGAAGGGGGGAGACATCCTGACTGCCCATTTCTGATGAAGACGAAGGCAGGCGCTGAAGGCGAGCTGATTTCAGGAAGGAGTCTGGATCTTCATGGGCAGGAGGAAGAGGGAACAAGTGTTAGATATTAAACAAACTTGGGCTTTTATTCCAATGCACGCACTGCACTATAATTATATCTGTCCCAGTTCCAGCAAAGCTATTCAGTTTCCTAAGCTTTCAGTAGATTTTTTTGGCTCAAATACTGCTGAGAGTCATTTTACTCCTACCTTTCTTTAACCCTTGTTATTCTCTAGGGCAGTGATTCTCAACCAGTGCCATGAGAACCTTTGACAGATGCCAAGGGAAGTGTGAGAAGATAAGCAGATGAGGCTTATCTGCCTTATCTGCTGCAGGCTCCAGGTGTGAGGAGAAAAGCAAATAAGGGCAGATTCAGCCTCTCTCTGCTTGGCTGCTCCCCAACCCTCATTACCCATCCCCTCTGCAAAAAGTTAAGCGCTGTAATAAATTAGATTCTGAAAATGAGGTGCCACTCAATTCACAACAGTTATGGAGGTGTGCCTTGAGTCTGACAAGGGGTGCCTTGAATTTTAAAAAGTTGAGAACCACTGCTCTAGGAGAAAGTCCAAAACGCTGACTAGTAACTTGTATGAATTTTGCTTGATATTGCAGATAGATGGGCAAACCCAGGGCACCAAAATCTCCAACAGCAAACCCACGATGGCTATCTTGCTTGGATTACACAGAAACTATTTGCAGACAGGTCTCAGAAACTAGAGACATCACAGTTCAGTCCAAAGTCCATTGCCTATGATTAGGGAGCTGCGCTTAGGAGAAATCAACTCAGAAAATAGACCCAAATCAAAATATGAGGCACTAACACAAGAATTACCAGGAATAAAGACTGGAAAGGAGGCAGTAGAGGGAGTAGGAAACATCTATACACATTAGCAATTCACAACACTCAACTAAACCTAAAATAATTCAGCAGACATGAAGACTTCTTCACTATCTCACCATGTAAGTCTTTAGAACAGCGACTCTCAATCAGGGTGCCACAGCATCCTGGGAGGGTTGTGTGATCCCTTTAAGGGAGCCTTGATGTGTCACGTAATAATAGCACTGAGAGATGTGGACACACCCACATGATTCACAAGAAACTCAAGGATTTCAATAAAGGAATCCACAGTGTCAAAAACCTTTTGTGGTCTTTCTGAGTTCTCTGCAACAGAGTAATTATTCTGTTTTTCCAAAGTCAAAAAAAAATTAAAGCTAATAGTCAGAATTTTCCAAGGGATGCCTTAAGTATAACAAAGTCTGCCTTGAGTCTAAAAAGGTTGAGAATGATTGCTTTAGACCAGAGTTGTCAGACATACGACCTGCAGGCCATATCCAGTCCGTGGATCTCTATGATCTGACCCATGGGTCTTAGAACAACTCCATGCAGCATGCACTGGCCTCAGCCTTGTGTATTTTATGTGGTACCTATGGCAAACTGGCCCTGTATACTTGCTCTGAGGCTGAATGTGGCCCACAGACTGCCACTGCACACTGAAGCCAGCGTGCAGGGCTGGCCAGCACAGGCTTTGCATGCAGCATACACTGGGTCCAGTCCCATGTGCTGTCTGCAACATGTGCCAGCCTCTGCCTGAGGCTTGCATTACATGGATGAGTTTGACACGTCTGCTTTAGCTTGATAAGACCAGCTTCAAAAGCAGGTAACTCAACAGACCTACAATGTCAGAAGTGCTAAATGCAACACAATGAATTTCTGATTTCCCAGGTTTTAATGGGGAGGAAAAAGCCACAACAGAAAACAAAGTGCACTTCAGGTCTAAGTGACTTTAACACGTATTTATTATTAAATGGTCTCCAAGTCTATACTTGCTTCAGCTGATTTTTTTAATGCAGCTTTGGATTATGAGAAGGGTTTGCAGAAAGAACATTAATTGCCATTAATGGCCACCTGGGTTATGAACCCAAATCAGCTGCAGCTTATATCCTACTTTATACAATACAATGAAATTTATAATCACACCAATTGTTACCATCCTTCTGTGGTCAAATACACTCCAGTTGGCTCAGACAACATCATACAACCAAAGAAAATTTTACACAGTTCTGAGGTTGCTTCCAGTGTTTACTGCTTAGTCATCATTGGCTGCTTATTTTTCACTGGGGACCAGCCACTCATTGGCTGGGACATATGACAAGAACCTATCACGCCCAACTTGATTGTCTTTGGTCATTGAAGCAGCAGGCCTTTTTGCTGAATCTCCACCCACTTCCCACCCACTCTGGGTTATTTTGGGGCAATAGTTACTTGAGCTCTCACAGTCATCTTCCCTATGCTTCTCTGAAGGAAATCTCCACTGGAGCTGCGTTGTCAGAACTCAGGTGATCTCAAGGGTAGGTAATGCCATGGACCTTAATGGTATCACTCCTGCCTTATACTGGCATAACACAAAGGAGTGTCAGGCTTTTTTGAAGGGGTATTGTGTGGCAAACCCAAATGTTCCTGGGGAGGAGGCTAGGCCTCTCAGCTCAGCAGGAAACCAGTTTGAGACCCCAGAGCTGCACAAGTGAAATAGCTGGCTATTCCTCAACAGGTTATCAGAAAGGCCATATGTGAATTAGATTTGTGGCTCATGGGTAAGAAAGACTGGCATTTAGTTTGGACCTTTCACCCTGGCAGGTCTGCTGCTGCCAGAGGTACTATCTTCAGCTAGTGGCCTTTTGAATGGCAACTCAAAAGCAGAAACAGTCCATGCACCTGCTCAGAGAAGAGAGGCACAAAGCTACATGTAATTGAACAGTGCTGGAACAGGATTGTCTGTCCCTATCAGAGCTGAGGAGCATTAGGGAGCAGCTAGCCCTGTCCTGAGTAAGGCTGGCTGACAGATGAGAAAGAGCCATGGGATAGTGTAAGGTCCCACTCCTAACCCCTGACCTTTGGCACCAGAAGTCCCTCCCCTTATCCCCCACCCCTCACCCCAGGAATACTCCTTTTGAGGGGAAGGTTACCATCTTGGAACCAGAAAAAAACCAAATCATACACTAAAAGTCAAACACCTACTATAAAATATTTTAATTTTATTACAAAAATATTTTTGTCATGATTTGTGTTTGCATCATGTATATAGAAATAATTGCATAATAACTCAGAAATAAAGCCTTAGTCTTGTATATTGTGTGTGGGGGATGCAGTTGTGGGGGGCGTGTATGGTGGGCTGTTGGGATGTTGTGAGGGGTTGACAGGGTATGTTACAGTGTATATGTGGGGGGCAGGGGGCAGGCATGTGGGGTTTGTGGAGTGTAAGGGAGGTTGGGGGTGTGGGGGCCCCCACACACTCTCCCCCCCATGACACGCTCCCTGCTGGCAGTGGTGGCAGCAGCAGCAGTAGGCAGTGGGTGCTCATGTCCCATGCAGGTGCTGCCGCCTAGTGGCACGTGATTCCAGGAAGCGCTGCACATGACAGCAAGGAGTGCAGCCAGTCAGCTGCCTTCCCCACTCCTTGCCATGCAGGCCCCAGGACTCCCCCAAAGTGGAGGGGAGCCCTGCCTCCTGCTTCCCGGCAGAATCCCGGGACCTGAATGGCAGGGAGCAGCGAAGGCAGCCAGCTCCATTGCATGGGGCTTCCCTCACTGGTGCGCAAGGGCCAGAAGCTGCACATGCACCACACAGAGCCCCATGCAATAGAGGCGGGCCAGCCTGGCTGTGCTCCTTGCCATCATGTGCAGTGCTGGCTGGAGCTGTGCGTTGCTAGGTGGCAGCACCTGCACAGGCAATGAGCACCCTCAGCGCCTCCCACCTGCTGCTGCTGCTGCCACTGGCAGCAGGGGCTGTGTGCCATGGCAAGGAGTGTGTGTATGGAGGGGGGGTTCCCACACCCCCCACTCTCCCTCACACTCATACCCTGCCCATCTGAGCTCCGCACTCCTGCTGTCCCGTCAGCATGGGCTCCGCACTGCTGCCCGGCTGCAGCTCCCTGCTACCCCCACCCCTGTCCCCACTGTTTCTCTACCTGGTGCCCAGAGCAAGTGCGATGCCAGGGAAGTCAAGCAGGTCCCCCAGCTGCAGCAGTGGCAACAGCAGCAGCCCCACTCAGAAGCTGTGTGCTAGCTGGGCTGGGCTCTTCCACCCACAAGGGTGGGAGCAAGGCATGAGTGCTGAGCAGGGTACAAGTAGTTGGGCACCCATAGGTAGGATGAAATTGCTTGCAAGGCTGGATCTGGCTCACAGGATGTATTTTGCCCACCCTTGCTTTAACTTCAGTCAGTGACTAAATCCCTCAGGCAAAAGAAAGGACTTTCTACTGCCTGTCCCAGAGATGTGAAGGCCTGGAAAAAAGTGGTACAGAACCAGAAAAAAATCAGAAAAACTTTTTTTTTCTGTTTTTTTTTCTGAGGACTTCTTTAATTTTTTTCCCAAAAAACTTAAATTTTTTGGAAAAATTAAAAACCTCTTATGAAATATTTTATTTTAGAATGATGAATAAAATGTTTAAGACAAAGTGTTCATATATTGCTACCCCTTACTCCCCAAAAATGTTTTCTAATAACTATGTAATAGGAAGACTTTTATGTAAGACTATCTACAGTATCAGATCATACTTGGATCAAGAGCTTGATCAGGAGTTCACCAGGGAATTGGCTGAGGACACATGTTCCTGGTGCATGGTTGTCATGGGAGACTTCAACTACCCAGACATCTCATAAGCAAGGGCAACATTGGACCTCTGTTAAACCAGATAGGACAACTGACAACTGATGCCCAGGAAAAAGCCATCCTGCTAAATGGGTACTTTGTGTCAGTTTTCCACCAGTCCCACGGGATGTCCCTTCTGCCCATTACAGAATGGGAAGGCCTGGGTGAGGGAGATTTCTTGCCTTCCATCAATGCTGACCTCATGAAGGAACACCTTGAGAGGCTGGATACCTTCAAGTCAGCTGGCCTTGACAGTTTACACCCCAGGGTACTCAAGGAGCTGGCAAGCATCATAGCCCAGCCCCTGGCACAGATCTTCGAGAACTCGTGGCACTCTGGTGAAGTGCCCGAAGACTGGAAGAAGGCCAATGTGGTGCCTATCTTCAAGGAAGGGAGGAAAGTGGATCCGGCAAACTACAGGCCCATCAGCCTGACCTCTATCCCAGGGAAGGTCTTAAAAGATTATTGAGGCCATTCTTAACAGACTGGCCGATGGCATCATCCTGAGGGATAGCCAGCACGGGTTTGTTGCGGGTAGGTCTT